TTGGAAATCAGTGAGCTTCTTTTCACTGCAATAAATTTATAATGTTTTTTTGGTGTAACTAAATACCACCTCTAGAGGATAATAGTAATTCCCTGCTGTCGTTATGGCTAGGATCCACCTCACCTAAAATGAACCCTGTAACACAGGTGTCTGGGCTCCTCCTGGGCTCTGAGACTAAAAAAGTACAACTGTACTGCTGAGGAAAGTTCATTGCCAGTGTGCTCAGATGGCTTTTTTGGGGTAGGAAGAATTGCTCCCTGGAGCTGCAATATTTCCTGATTAATTGTACAAAGAACTTGATTGTCCAGAGCAACAGGAGCAGGGGACTGCCACCCACGACAGCTGCTTCCCAGCTCCTGGGTGTTGCATGTGGTCTTCTACGAGTTGTATTCCACCAGTACACCATACCCTCCCATTTCCCTTCCCTCACTACCTCACAGTGCGGCATCTGTGATAGCAAATGATCTGGAGGTACAGTCTTGCCACTAACCTTCATTGTGGCAGCTTCCATGTCAATGTCCCACTTGCGTGCCCCATCCTCTTCCTTTGATCTTCACCCTGAGGTCACTTCTTTCCTTCCCTGGTGTGAGCTCTCATTCAATGATGCTCAGGGAGAGCACGAGATAGGTCTCCTGGCTCTCCTTTCTCATGTTCTTCATGCTTGGCCATGTTGATGACCGTTCTCAGTCCAGTGTATGAGGCTTTTGTGATGGTCATGTAATGCATAGCTATTTTGGGGGACTCACGGAGGCCCCATGGATCAGAACGGTGCTAGTGTGGAACAGGGAAAGCAGCCAAGCTCCTGGGACATGGGTGCAGCTGCAGGGCTGTGGGATGAAGCTTGCCTAGTGCTTGTCTGAGGCATGGCAGCAGGGCCATCCTTGATGGTTGAAAAATGCCTTCCAAATTCTGTGGAAAAGTTGTGTGGCCTCATTGGCCTTGTAACCACATTCAAGTCAGACATGACTGCTGGCTACAGATGATGTCATCCGTGTGGTGCACTCGTTCCTGAATGCTTCCTCTGTCGGCTCCTATTTGCTGTGCCCCGAGTGACTGCTGGTTTGCTTCCATACCCGGCAGACGGAGATTTTAATTTATTGTGTTTAAATTTTTTAGTAGGGATGTCATGGAACTGCACTGAGTCAACATGTCTGTGAGACCTAAGAGTTCCTGCTTTTGTGGATGTTGTAGTTCTCCTTCTGGTCCTGCAAGACTGGAGTGTCATCAGGCTCTACATCTCAGCAGATTTTATTTGCAGTGTTTCACTTGAATAAACCGTCAGATTTTATTTTGAGGTAGACTGATCAAAGCTAAGATGAGTTTAGAATAATGATCTTATTTATAAATTCTTGAGTAAGAAGCATTTCATGTTACTGAGGCACACTCCAGAGAAAATGCTGAGTGACATAAATGCTACAAGACTGCCATTCCATTGTCTAAATGCCTGTAAGAAAAAAAACTCCATGAAAACACTTGGCAGGTTTTAATCAGATGCTTTTACTCATGGGCTGAGCATCAGACAGTCTTGCTCTCCTCAGCTAACCTTGGGCACAGTAGTAACACAGGTGGGCTCCCTGCCCTTTTTCCTGTTGGTCAAAAATCTTCCTGCTCCAAGAAAAGCTTTTTTTTCCTGGGAGGAATGATGAAGTTTGGTCTTTATCAGATAGAATCCATCAGTTACTTTAATAAGACACATACATATGCATAGGCACGTTTCCATTTTTCTGTTTGTGTATGAAGATGAAAGCAAGTATCTTGCTGCAAGGGGTGGCTGACAAACACATCCTTCCGCAGCCCCAGCCAAACTGTGGAGGCCTGACACTAGTCTGGAAGCAGGAGCATTTGCCTGAAGTTTCTAAATCATTTATAGGTGTATTTTCGGAGCAGTAAACTAATATCATAATTACATTCAATATAATGTCTTTTTAATGTTATTCTATTGCCTTCAATGAAATGCATTTACTGGGAATCTCTTTCATTAAACAATGATGTATGTTTGGATGCGCCTACGTACAGGGATAGATGAAGTGGAAAATATGGGATGTTTTCTGCTAGAACTGATACACAAGGTGTGATGGCTGGCACAGGCTTGGGCGGTGGTCATCAGGGATGCTTTAGGTTTAATGAAGCCGGAGGAACATGATATGAGTGTCTTCAAGTATATTTGCACTTGAGATTTATTGTGGATAGCATTACATCAGTACAGAAAAATAGATGTCTCTTTTCCTCACCTTCTCTGTATCTTCTTATTTAGCATTTTCTTATGAATTGTTTTAGTTACTGCAAGGTTGGTCATGACTAATGCTTAAAAAAAATTAGTACTTCTAGCTGCCATTGTTCTTGATGTGGTTTTGGACAATATTATAGAATTGTAGAATCATAGAATAGTTTGGGTTAGAAGGGACCTTCAAAGGTCATCTAGTCCAACCCCCCTGCATTGAGCAGGGATATCTTCAATGAATCAGGTTGCCCAGAACCACATCCAGCCTGGCCTTGAATGTATCCCCGGATGGTGAATCTGCCAATCTACCACCTCTCTGGGAAACCTGTTCCAGTGTATACCATCCTCATTGTAAAACATTTCTTCCACACATCGAGCCTGAAGCTCCCCCTAAACAGTTAATAAAATAATCCAAGTGAGCATTGCTTCCTGCTGGCATAGGTCTGTTAGAGGCACTGAGAGCATCTTGGGCAAAAACTTGTTCAGCAAGTTCCTGGGCAGGTGAGCTTGGCCTTTCCCTTCTGACTTTCAAAACCAGTCAGCATTGAAGGATTGTGTCCTCCATTACCAGGGTGACAGCGCTGCTCTGGTGGCACATATATCCTGTGCTTTCCTTAGGAAAATGTCATCCTTTTAATATCTCTGGTGTAAGCCTCACTACTGGGTAGTTACTTCTCACAAATCATATTAGACAATGTTAGATAAATTGCTTTTGTAAAGATGCTTTGTACTTTGGGTTGTGGCTGAAAACTAGGTATTACCCTAGGTGGAAAAAAAAAAATGGGGATTCATTTTTGGTATCCCAGTGAAACAGACCAAACTGCACAGTGACACATCTGGGAGGAGGTGGGACTGAGCAGCTGCCCACTCACAAGTAGTCTGTTGGTACAAAGCACTGCCTGGAGGTGCCAGGAGCAGGGCTCAGGCTCAGGTTTGAGCCAGGCTGGCCAAACTGCCCACCTATAATGGTTTTCTGTTCTACACTCAGTTACTGCTCGTTTATTTCGCTCTAGTAATTATTTACTGGGCACAAAGGGAAAGGGCCAATCTGTAGGTTGAGTACAAGGGCATTTGTCTGGGATATAGTGTGTTTCTTGTAACACTGGATTTCGCACAGTTTAGTGGGTTATTATTTGTTCTGAAGTGAGTGGAGTTCTGTGTTTCAGGGCTTCTTCAGTTAAAATAGGTGTATTTGTCCAAGGAACAAAAATATTTGATTTCAGTGATTGGCCTTTTTATACAGAAACACTGGCTTTTTTTTTTTTTGCTGAAGACTTGCTGGTGAGCTGTAATTTACAGTATTTGCTGCAGGTGTGGATTTAGTTGACATGCTGATGAGAAGAATCCTTACGATCAGCAAAGCCGCAGCTCTGGGAGCTAATAATTGAACTAGAACATCTGTTTTTTATAGAAGGAAGACTTTCAGTGTGTGGAAGGAAATGCTTGCTCTTGACTCCTCCAAATTACCCGACAACTCTTGTTAGGATAGCACAGATGGGCTTTGACCAGCCTCAGTGCCTCACAGCAGGAGGCTCGGGATAAGCCCATACGAAGTCAGAACCCAAGGCTTAAGCCTGTGTTATGCAGTGTCCAGTGATTTGTAGAACTCGTTAAGAACTCGCCAACAAAGTTTAAGTTGACAAGCAGGTATTCTTTATTGCAGCGCTGGGAGACACAGGGGATGTCTCCTCCTAATGTGTGTCTCGTTTAACCATCAAACAGACCGTGATTATATTGTTGCTTAACATACATATTCATTACATTTCCGATAGATGTCGTACATATGCATTAGTTGTCCGAGAGCTGTTTTACATAATTCCACGCCTATTTTCGCATGCGCATAACAACGTGGTAGTGGTCTTCGGTGGTCGTTTACTTCTTCCAACGATCTTCATCACTTGCCCGTTCCTTGAACCCTTGTTCTGGAAGTCTTTGAAGCATGCATGAAGATAAATGCTTACACCAGCTTAATTAGTTTGGTAACACTACTGACAGAAGTGAGTGATTTCTCCTCGTCCTTCTACTTATCAGTTAACTTCGCTACAGCACCTCCTGAACATCTACTGGTTTCAGATACTCCTGAGCTACAGTCCTGTTTTGGTTACAATAAATTTTGTCCGACGGTCATAAGGTCCTAAAACTGTCAGCTACAATGATTTATCTTATACAAGGATCCTTTTATGCTCTTTTAATTGGGCTTTTTAGGTTTGGAAAGTTTTGTTGTTATGTACAAAGCCACCAAACTTAAAGTTACTTAAAACTTAATTTTCTTATTTTACAAAGGATTATATTTCATTTTGTACTTCCTTGTCTCACCAGCAAACCCTCAGTACCTTGTGTTTTGTATGACAGGTCTGCCAGTGAATGTTTTGGTTTCAGTATGTTGTACACTACATAGCACCACCTGACATGGCTTGAAGGGCCATGGGATGAAATAGCTACCTTGCAAAATTCACATTAGAAATTATCCTTGGCAGATATAAGAAAACTATATCCCAAGTTCCCTTCTTCTACCTCTTCTATTTTGTGGTATGTTTCCCTCAAAAATAAAAATGCACTAAAGATGGATTCTGAGCTGCCATCCAGAGATGGATGAATGTTTGCTGTAGCTTTAAAACTAATGTACTTGTCAACTGCCCTGTGGGTATGGTTGGAATATCCACTGATTTTGTAAACTGTTTTGACAGTGTTGTTTGCAGGACAATTTCTTAGCATAATAATTTTTCTGCCACTAATTAAAAGCATCTTTGTAACCCTAGTCTTTGTTTTCTTCTTCCAGCAAAGAGCTCCAGGGAAAGTTTTGCATGATGCTGTTTGCAACCACCTGAACCTTGTAGAAGGCGACTATTTTGGCCTTGAATTTCCAGATCATAAAAAGATGATGGTATGTAAAAGAATTAATTTTTCAGCTGGTTTTCATCTACATACACACTGTATTATTCTCTCATTCTGCTCCTTACTTAAATAAGGTATATTTAATCTTCAGTCTCCAAATGAAAAAAGGACTTAAAAAAAATATTCTTGCCTGCTAATGTTGAAGAAGTGTTTTTAAAACCTGATTACTCCTGTCAGATTTCATTTGTGTTGAAAGTAACAGCCAGTTCAGACACAAGTTGGAAAAGCATTTTATCTTACTCAGTTGCTGTAGAGAAGCCAAAGGCTGGATTGTTGCAGCGTCTCAACTCTGATTTTACAGTCCCACTTAATTTAGAGTGCGGAAATAATCTTTCCTGCAGACAGAGAAGTTGCCATGATTGTGATACAGCTGCATGAAAAACATTGTGGGGCAAGAAGATGGGTAGATAAAATATAACAAGGTTAATAAAAAGGAAGGCAAAATCAAAAAGCACAAATAAATTGATGGAAGTCCTGTTGGAGAACTGAGAGGTGTTCTGGTCCCGACACAACTCTGAGAAGATCTGCTGTCAACATTCAGGCATTACACTAATACTTCTAGGGTGGAAAGAGTATCATGTAGCAGAGAAAGCCAAAGGCTAACGACTTCTCAGCCTCTAATGACTTTTTTCCTGAAGTTTATTTTACCTTAGACTTACCGTGTTACCTACTGGCATGTGTGCTAGTTATCTGGATTGTCAGACCAGTACCTTTGGGTGTATACTGAATTTCTTGCTTGTTCAGTGAATTCTGCCTCAGTAGCCTGGTTTAGTAGCCAAAAAAAGATTACTTTGGGCAATTTTTAAAAAAATAGAAAATCTATTTTCTGTCCATCTACACGAATTTCTGCAAGAAGCAATATCTTTTAACAAAAGAAACAAAAGAGGTTTTATCTGCCGCCACAGTAATCAGTTGTCATTCCTTAATACAGCCTTACAAAGACGCTAGAATTGAATACTCATGGTCAGAATGTTTTAGGCTAACTATAATTAAAGAAGACATTGTGAAAAAATGGGCATAGATCTTTTGAAGTGATCTACTTCACAGTTTGCTTCTGGATTTACATGAAACACATTTTACTAGAAAGTTTCATATTCTGCCAGTGATCCCTGGCTAATGCTTTAGGTAACTTGAGAGCTTAATGTAACTCTTCAAAACAGTGCAACTGTACAGTACTGCTGCAACAGAGAGTCCATGCAGCCATGTTAATAATGATATCCTGACATTCCTGATGGATGAATGGATGTAAAGCAGAAACAAATCCTAATGTCTCTTGTACATACAGTTCCTTTTTAGTTTTCTAGAAAACAGAGGTGGTCATTTGATCAACCTTCTGTGCTTCACAGGTCATTAAGTTTCAAATAGATGACTCTCTGTGTTTTGCTCAGAGACGTGAAGTAAACTAAGTTTTCAGTCTTGTGGAAACGAAATGGTTTATTTGCTTGAGGCAGAACACAAGAGAAACTGAGGTGCTGCCAGTGCCTGAGGCAAGAACTGACCGGCTAGAAGTATGTCCAGACAACCACAGTGGGGGAGCGAGGGCTCCGATGAAGAGGAAGGTGGGGAAAAAACCCTTAAGGCCAGTTTGACCTGAAGGAAAATGCTTCCATGCATCCAGCATGGTAACTCACCTGGCCCCTACATTTGCAAAGGGAAATACAGCCAAGTCTCTCAGAGTGCCGGTCCACGTTCCTGCTGGAGGTTCCAATTTTTGCTTCTGAAAAAGGGGGAGATCCCCAAATCTTGGCCCCATCTAGTCAGCTGTGCCCCAGGCCTGGTGAGATCATTGGGGGCAGCGTGTTCACCACCTAACGGCAACTCACGGAAATTCTGAAGCAGATTTGATTATGAACCATTTCCGGGGTGAGCATCTCCCGAGAGGCTCCTCC